ACTACTACTACTGCTACTGCTACGACTACGACTACGACTACGACTACGACTACGACTACGACTACGACTACGACTACTACTACTACTACTACTACTACTACTACTACTACTACTACTACTACTACTACTACTACTACTACTACTACCACTGATACTACTGATACAGTTTCTGGTCGTGACACTCCTCGTGATCCTTTTGCTCCTACGCTTCCTGCCCCTTCGTGCTGCTCCTTCTCTACTTCTTCTCCTCCTCATCCTAGGCGGCCTCCTCCTCTCCATCTTCAGCAGCTCGGACCTCTGCACCTGCCAGGCGCGGAACTGTCGCGCGCCGCCTCTGCTGCAGAGCTCTCCCCAGGGCGCTCTCGGCAAGCTTTGGCGTGCTATGCGACATGCAGCGGGCTAAGTCATCAATAAATGCAAGGTCGTGTGATTGAAATGCGGTGCGCAAGCGTTACCGCGCATTGTGCATATGATAGATATCGTGATACACGCGCGCGCATGTGCCGAGCGCTCACTTACCGTTGTGACGACAGGCTGGGCAGATTTCCTTACATTACCCGTCAACGCACAGATGCTGGGGTGATCACCCGCCCGCGGCAGAGTGAGACGACCCTGCCCGCAGCCTAGGGGAACCTGCACTGTGGCCTACCTCGGCCGCCCCCAGAGCCTAGACTAGGGGAAAGACCTGCAAGCCATCCAGACAAAATGCGCTGGGGAAACACTAAGGCTTCGATGCAATTGTGCCCGTGACGAACGCTACCACGACAGAGGTGTGGGATTGGGCAAAGGAGCTCGCCCCAGAGTGCGCGCGAGTGTGAGAAGCCACGGACTTGTCGCGAGCGACCCCTACACGGTATCGATGTGGGTGACCCTTGGGACGCGTGGGCTCTGTGCCGCTGTCGGGGCCGCTGCCGCTGCCACCTCCGCAAGCGCGCTCTGCCACGGAGAGAGGGCCTGGCGGCGCCTACCTCCATAGAGCCGGCCACGGGGCACGCTTTTCAGGCAGCATCTGCTCGCGCGCTCGCGCGCGCGCACACCTCCTGCTCCTCCTCCTCCTCCTCCTCGGCCTCTTCCTCCTCCTCCTCCTCCTCCAACTCCTCCTCCGCCTCCCCATCTACGCATCAACACTTCAAGGCAGGGTGGCGATGCCTGTACAACATAGGATGAAGAGAGCAGGTCGAAATCGACCTCCTACTCCTCCTCCTCCTCCTCCTCCTCCTGCTCATCCTCCTCCGCCTCTTCCTACTACTCCCTCCTCTTTCGTCCTCGTCGTCGTCGCCCTCCTCATCTTCCTCATCCGTCTTCTTCTCCTCCTACTCCCCCGTAGCCTCTTCCAACTCCTCAGTCCCTTCCTCCTCCTCCAACTCCTCCTCCTCCTCCCCGTCCTCTCCTTCTCCTTCTCTTCTCCATCCTCCTCCTCCTCCTCCTCCTCCTCCTCATCCCCTCCTCCTCCTCCTCATCCTCCCCCTCTTCCTCCTCTCCTCCTCCTCATCCTCCCGCCCTCCTCTCCTCCTCTCCTACTCATATCCTCATCCTCCTCCTATCCTCCTCCTCCTCCCCTCCGGCCTCCTCATCATCATCATCATCATCATCATCATCATCATCATCATCATCATCATCATCATCATCATCATCATCATCACCACCACCATCAGCATCACCATCAGCATCAGCATAGTAATATGATAGCACCATCAAATGTTAATATTCGTAGTAATAATGCTAATCGTTCGACTGATACTGAACATGACAATAATAATCACCACCAGTAATGGTAATTCGAATAGTCATTATAATGATAATGATCATACTTATGGCCACAAGAATCGTACTGACGCAGATAGCAATAGAACATGAACAACAATAGTCATCATCATCCGCATCAACATAAGCATCATCATCACCACCGTCATCATCAACATCATCATCATCATCAACAACATCAGCATCGTCAGCATCATCATCATAGTCATGAGCATCATCATCGGTATCATCCTCATCATCATCTGCATCATCATCATCAACATCAACATCAACATCATCCTCATCCACAATTAGCATCATCATCATCATCATCATCATCATCATCATCATCACAATCACCAACATCAACATCATCACCTTCATCATCACCACCATCATCATCACCATCATCATCAGCAGCAGCAGCATCAGACGCAGAATGGTCATCAACAACAACATCAACAGCATCATCGTCATCACCAGGTGCTTATGATTCATCCTCCTCTTTCGTATCCTCCTCCCTCCTCCTCCTCCTCCTCCTCCTCCTCCTCCTCCTCTCCTCCTCCTCCTCCTCCTCCTCCTCCTCCTCCTCCTCACCTCCTCCTCCTCCTCCTCCCTCCTCCTCCTCCTCCTCCTCCTCCTCTCCTCTCCTCCTCCTCCTCCTCCTCCTCCTCTTCCTCCTCCTCCTCCTCCTCCTAGCTGTTTCCTTCTCCCCCCTCCCCTTACCGGTCTCCTTCCTCCTCCGCCCCTGTTGATCCTCCTTTTCCTTTTCCTTCCTTCCGCTCTCATGGGTGGTCTCCGCGAGGGGAGCAGGGGAGGCGGCCAGCCGGGTTGGTGGTGGGTGTGGCGAGGGTCACTTGACCTACGCACGCTCACAGGCGTGCGCACAGGTGTCCTCCACGGCATCGCGGCGTGCCCCCCCCGCCACATGCAAGCCTGCGAGTTGTGAGCTCAGGACTGTACGCGCACAGACGGAGGGGCCGACGGGCGACCGCACTCTCAGGGCGGTCGTGCCGCAAGTGGGCGGGCGGGCGGGCGCGTACACAGCAGCTCGCAGGCGTGTGCGCCCTGCTCGCCCACATGCCCTTCGGAGAGAATCGCGCGCCCCCCCCCTTTCCTCCCAATCACCCCTT